AGCGTACCGGACCGCAAACGGCCACAGAAAGTGGGGGGCAGCCGCGTGGACTAAGGAGGTACGAGCGACCTCCATGACCAAGCCAATGCGGCGCTCAGCAACCCCATTCTGCTGTGGAGAGGCCGGAAGCGTGAACGACTCGCGAATGCCGTGCTCGGCACAGTAGGCTGCCAAGAGGTGGGAGGAGAACTCGCCACCTCTGTCAGAGTGCAAGCGCAGGACAGGAAACTCCGAGCGAAAACGCTCTCGCAGCTGAAGACGTGCTCTGCTGATCCAAGGGATCAGGACATCAGGGACTTCACCCCTGGTGCGCAAGGGGAAGACCGTGGTGTAGCGCGAGTAGTCGTCAACGACGATCAGGAAGTACCTCTCCTGGCCCTGACAACGGACGCGGGCTGGGCCCCACACGTCCATGTGGAGCGTCTGCAAAGGAGCTGTCGTCGGGGGGAACGAGGAGGAGTGAGGGGCAGCGCGCTGCCGCCCCTCGACACAGGGAAGACAAGGAGGAGCAAGGGAGGGTGGGAGGGGAGGGAGTACCCGAGGAAGACCAGAGACAAGGTACCGGGAGTGCATGCCCCGAAGGCGCTGCACTGACGGGTGACCAAGTCGGTGGTGCCAGAGGACAGTCTTGTGCGCTAGAGAGCGACACGAGCAGGGGACAGACAGCTGACCTGACACAGACGCAGACGCCGCTACCTGAGGGGACTCAGTGGTCAGTGTGTACAGGTCCGACCCCGGCTGCCGAGTGAAGGTAGCCAGGTGACGGCCCGTCCGAGCACACGTGCAGTGTGTCACGCGCTCGTAGGCAGGGGTGAACTGGTGAACACCCCCATCCTGAAGCGCACAACCTGCCACCAAGTTCGTAGAGAACGAGGGGAGGTGGAGACCTGACAGTGTGCCCGACGGGACAGCAGGACAAGGAAGGACAGTGGAGGAGGTCGCAATGACTGGACCCCCAGAGGGGTCAGCGAGCGAGACAGCGACTGGTCGAGCAAGGGGCTCAAGAGCAGTGCGGTCACGAAAGAAACAGCGCGAAGCGCCTGAGTCTAGAGTGAAGGTGTGCAGTGCCTCTGTGGACTCAGTAGTACCTGGGGTGGCGGACACACAAGCACCTAGAGCAGTAGCCGCACTAGCACCTGGGGCAGCAGACACGCAAGTACCTAGGGCGGCAGCCTCACTCGTGCGGATGCCTGGGTCAGGCGGAACACACAGGTACTGGTCCTCCTCTCCACTTATAGTCAATGCATACATGGCTTTGAGAATAACATCAAAATCAAGAGCATAGATATCGATATCCTTCTTGAGGAGATCAGCCCACTGAGGGAGCTCAGGAGCGTCAGGAAACTGAGCACGCCACGCGTCATCTAGGCGAGAGAAGCAGCGCTGCGCAGTGTGCGCCCTCCCGCACGTCTATCCCTTGCGGCGACCAGTGCGGATGACGTACGTGCAGCTAAGGCTACCCCCCCCACCCCCGTGCTGTAAGTACCACTCACGAAGCTCCTGGGAGGACTGAGGGTGCTGCGCGCTCTGGCCAGTGCCAGAGCCTCCACGACCACCACCACCGCCTCCACCACGACCACCACCGCCCCTGCCGCCTCCACGTCCACTGCCGCCACCACCACCGCCCCCACCCCGGCCACCGCCGCCGCCGCTGCCTCCACCACTCCCACCGCTGCCACTAGCCCCTCCAGCCCCGCCACCACCCCCACCGCCGCCACCACCCCCACCACCGCCTCCCCCGCCGTCACCCCCACCGCCCTTGCCTCCCCTGCCCTTGCCGCTGCGACGCCCGCTGGGAGCGGACGCAGAGCCGACCTGCTCAGCACCAAGGAGGTCGACAGCAGCAGCAGAGGCGACAGAGGGGAGCAGGGGGGAGGGGGAACACCCCTCGAAGAAAGGGGTGCGGGGGTCGCCACGAGAGGTACCTACAGCTACAATACTCTTCTCAGCTGCAAGTAGTTCCTTCTCTAGGGCGGTAATGGTGAGCTCAGTGGGGCAGCGAGCTAGGAAGTGGTCCCTGACTGTACGCAGAGTGTCAAGGAGGCGGGTGACTAGGTGGTAGAGAGTGAGCCAGAGCGGGGGAGGGTTGGAGGCAAGAAACTCAGCGGGCATGGCGGCACGGAAGCGGGCATCACTAGTGCGGAGGTGAGTGATGAGGTCAGCGACTGTCTGGAAGGCGGACAGGTCGGGGAACAGGTAGGGAAGCGAGAGGCGGCCTAGTGCAGCTGAGGCCGGGGAGGAGTAGCGCGCAACTACAGCAGTGTACAGGGCCTGCGCAGTCTGATGCTGGCCAAAGTGCTCGCGCTCGTCGACTGGCAGGGAGTTGCGAATAGCAAAGCGGGCGTGGGCATCGCGAGTCTGCCACTGTGAGCAAGCAGTAGCAGCAGCAGTAGTAGCAGGAGGAGGGACTGTGCCTAGTGCGTGATCGTACAGCGAGATATCCTCTCTGGCAGTGAGCTGGAGGAACAGGTGCAGATCATCGAGCCAGGTCTCAAACTTAATCGGGCGGCCCTCAGCATCGAACGAGAGAACTGGAGGGCTAGCCATAGCTGAAGTAGCAGTAGCAGTGGCAGTAGCAGCAGCAACAGCGGTAGTAGTAGCGGTAGCAGTAGCAGTAGTGGTGCTGCTGCTCAGGTAAGGAGGGCGCGGCCCGGCTAGGACGGCGCGGCTCGGCTAGGGCGGCGCGGCTCGGCTGGGGCGGCGCGGCTCGGCTGGGTCGCGCGGTGCAGCTGGGGTCGCGCTGTGCGGCTCAGCCGTAGAGGGGCGAGCGCGGGAGGGGCCGTTCGGGGGCCGGTCGGGGCTAGCGCGGGGCCATTTGGGGGCCGTAGGAGGCTAGCGCGGGGCCTTAAGGGGCCGTGGGAGGCTAGCGCGGGGCCTGAAGGGGCCGTGGGAGGCTAGCGCGGGGCCTTACGGGGCCGTGGGAGGTTAGCGCGGGGGCCGCACGGGGCCGTTCGAGGCTAGCGCGGGGCCAATCGGGGCCGTAGGAGGCTAGCGCGGGGCCGTAGGTGGGCCGTGGGAGGCTAGCGCGGGGCTACACGGGGCCGTTCGGGGCTAGCGTGGGGCCATAGGGGGCCGTGAGAGGCTAGTGCGGGGCCGACGCGGGGCCTTAAGGGGCTAGCGCGGGGTCTTAAGACGGGGCCGTGAGAGGCCGTAAGGGGCGACGCGAGGGGCCGTGAGGGCCTGAAGGGGCGACGCTAGGAACGAGGCGCACGAGGGCGCTAGGAAAAGGCGGCGCACGAGGGCGCGGCTAGCGGAAACGGTGGGCCCTAACGTTCCGGTCCTAGGTGGAACCTAGGCTCGTAATACCATGTCAGAATGAGAAACAGGAATGTCTGTGACTAGCAGGAACAACAGTACAAATATGAAACCCTAAACTGGTGTACCCCTTATGGTGTGACCCACTACAGCCTAGAACCACACAAACATATAATGTTTGACAACAGCGGAATAAGGGGTCTTTCCAATGCTGGCAAAAACTTCGTCCACTCGCCAGCGTTTCGGACGTTCTTCGCGGCTCCCCGTACAGCGCACCTCCTCCGCCAACTTCCCAAAGCTTCCCGCCTTGTCAGTGCAAATTTCCCGCATCCAGATGCTGCAGCGGCGTCCCGCGCTTTGGGGTTACACCAGGGAAGGGGTGCATGGCGACTTGGCTCTTCGCTTCCCTTCCCTCCCATCCCTTTCTTTCGGCTCCTGAATTTGCCTCACCTCATCTCAATTTATTTCACTTCCGAAAACGGTAGTCGCTCGGTACCGGCCTCGGTAGCGCTACCGGGCTCCGAGCCCCCTGCACGCGAGGGCCCGCGTGCTGCACTCGACCGCCCAGAACCGAGCTCGCCAGCCTGTCCGGGGCGGGAAGCAGGCTAACGCAGCTCCGGCCCTTTGAGCTGGCTCGGGGACCGCATGACGCAACACTCTCCCGCGTGACGGGGACTGGGACCACCGGGCTCGCGAGCCTGCGAGGCCCGGCCCGTGCCTGCCGAGGCCCGGTTGGCCTCGCCAGGAGCGCCCCAAGGGACACGCGCGCGAATAACCCGTTAGTGCGGGGCAACCGGAAATAGGCACCCCGCGAGCCACACCCACTGCCGGAATCTCCCTTCATGCATTTTGTGCTTCCGGTTTCCCGATGCTATTTCCTTGAATTGAAAAACACTTGGGATGTGCACACGGCTGCAGCCCGCGAGAGAGTCGCACCCACCATAACATTAAAAACTCGCGTTCTTACGTGACCTTTTCCTTGTGTTTTTCGAATACAATGAGTAATAAATCTACAACAACGAGTTGTTAAACGAAGTGTACATAACAGGATGCGCGATGTTAGAGTGGACGCGTGGCACCCGTCCGATGCACCCCTGGGCCGACGGGCGTTGGAATGCTCCGAGCGAGGAACGGGGCAGGAGGGCCGGAGGGGGTATAGGAGGCCCTTTGAGTCCCATTTTTGTGTTTTGTTTTGCGTTTCGATTCAGCCTTTCCTCATCCCTCTCGGTCAGCTCTCTGCGCAGACCTTAATCTACGTCTCTGCTCTCTCCACTTTTGTAAGGTATGCGTTCACGCTTGTGTGTTTTGTTTTCAGTTTCGATGCGCACGGCTGGATTATTGCACACGGGTAGTCGGCCGCGGAATCTCTAGCAAGTACTTCCGACGTGCCTCGTTCATGCATCTGCCTCATCCGATTCAGCTGCGTGTCCTCATTAACTCTCATTAACTCTCGTTACGGAATTCGCGCTTGCTTTTCGCGCTTGCTTTTCAGTACTGGTTTCTCGCGTTCAAAACCGCGTGCAATTTTCCCCCATCCATGTACGTGCGCCTCATTCGCTGGGTTTATATTCCAGCGTTTTCATTTCCGCGTGTGCTGTTGTGAGTCGGTTAAACCCGTGGTACTGGCTTTTCCACGGAGCTTGTTTCCGCAGGTGACTATCCTGATGGATTTTTCGCGTTCTCGCGTCGGTTACCCTTTTTGCGCATGCAGAATGCTTCGCGAACGCCGGAATCTCATGGATCCCATGGAAGCTCTGAAGGGTCACGACGTTGTTTTGGTGGCCGGTGGCACATCTGTTAGTCTCGCGGGCGAGAACAAGGACATCTTGCTCAACGAGGACGCTGATTTTTCCGTGCCATGCCTTGATTTCGCTTGCCTGTAAGTGCAATCCGATGTTTTTTCCGCGCCATTTTTTCGCGCTATCGCGCTTTCTGACACTCTTTTGTTCCATCCATCGTGGTTTCAACAGCCATGTGCTTGGCAGGCATCCTCCGCCCCTGGAACACAGTCCTCTCATCTATACGCACGACGTCCTTGCACCGCTCCTAAAGAAGGACAGTATCAACGACGACCTGCTCTGCAAATCCCTGCTCGTGTTTCCGTTGTGGAGCAGGTGGGTGGATCGCGGGTAGTTTCTTTTTTATGCACGCCCGTCGTGGTTTTTTTCGCTCATTGTTCTTGATTCTGTCGCACGTGCAGTCTGGACGATGGTTCTTGTCATTGCAGCATCCTGCTCGTCATCCGCCTTGACGACCTCGTTTCGCCTGACGAGGAAAATTGTGGAACGCGGGTTCTTCACATCGAGTCAGTTCCCGACGAGGATAAACATTCAAAGCTGGCGGACGACGTGGTCGGGTGAGTTTCGTTCGTTTTAAAAGTTGCTTCATCGCGGGGCTGTTCACATTTCGTGTTGCGTTTTCCCGCAGGTGGTTCGCGAGGGTGGTTGCATCGGAGAACTTGGAGCCGGATCTCAAGAAGGAAGTTTGGCAGCGGGCGCTGGTGCTCAGGCGAGAGTGGATGGTACGCTCTTGCTGCGTGTTTCCGCATGTCCCCCTGTGATCCTGCTCTTCGCGTCTGAAAGATGTTTTTTGTCTATGTTTCCGCATAACCTCACCCACGTTACCAATCCTAACGCCAAGTCCGGCATGATCGTCGTCTACAGCTTTCAACGCGTGCTGCAAGATTATGATTTTGCGTCGCGGAACAGCTCGGATGTCGTCCGTGCCCCGAAGACGAAGTCCCTGAAGTCTCTGAGGGACAGGATCGTCAAGCACGCGTGTGATCTTGCCGTCGACATCGTTCTAGCGGAGCTCGCGTTGCACAAAACGGCTGGCGCTCACTCAACGGTGCTTCACGCGGCCGCGGTGGACAGCGTGTGAAGATAGTAAAGAGAATCAGGAGCCATAGCTAGGAACAACCTAGCTAGGCAAGAAAGAAGTTAGGCAAAAGAGGGTTTGCACTAGCAAGCAAGGGGATACACATACGAAACCCTAAGGGGTTATACTCGCTATAGAGTACCCCACTGCAGGCTAGAGAACATAAGATAATATTCTGACACAAGCGACCCCCTCAGGTCGCCTCGACAGACGACGGGAAATGGGGGGAGGGGAGGAGGGGGGGGGGGGGGGGGGGGGGGGATGTGGAGAAAGTGGCCCACCACGGACCTGAGAGAGTCGCAGGTAGGGGCACGGGGCCGGGGCCGCGAGTAGGGCGACGGGGCCGCGCGGGCGGCGACGGAGCCGCTGCCCGCGGAGACGAGGCCGCGGCGGGTGGGGACGGGGTCGCTGCGGGCGGCGACGGGGCCGCTGCGGCGGCGACGGGGCCGCGCGGGCGGCGACGAGGCCGCGCGGGCGGCGACGGGGCCGCTGCCCGCGGAGCCGGGGCCGCGGCGGGTGGGGACGGGGTCGCTGCGGGCGGCGACGGGGCCGCACGCGACACCCCAGACCGTCGTAACGGACGGGCAGGGGGCCGCGCGCGGCTCCCCTGGGCGGCGCGACGGGGCAGCGGGCGGCGCGCCAGAAAAGAAAGGGGCCGCGCGCCCCGTGGCGCGCGGCGAGATTGAAAATGCGTCGCACGCCACGGGGCGTGCGACAGAGCGTGTAGCAGCGGAAGCAGTAGTACCCACAGGCCGAGCGCGTAACCGCTCTGAAACCATGTGAAGATAGTAAAGAGAATCAGGAGCCATAGCTAGGAACAACCTAGCTAGGCAAGAAAGAAGTTAGGCAAAAGAGGGTTTGCACTAGCAAGTAAGGGGATACATATACGAAACCCTAAGGGGTTATACTCGCTATAGAGTACCCCACTGCAGGCTAGAGAACATAAGATAATATTCTGACACAGCGCTGCCGGTACGGTCGCGGGCCCTAGAAAGGGAAACCCACCCGTGAGTAAGACACCCGATGGTGACAACGCGGAAAGGGTATCGGAGGCTGTGGGTGATTCATCCGCGGGAAACCAGAACAGGAAGGTGGATGACGCGGGAAACGAGAAGGGGCCTGCCGCGCCAACCGCGGAGAAGAACACCGCAGCTGACGACGTGGACAAGGCCACTCCACCCCGCGTAACCGAGAATCGGTTGGAGGTTGCTAGTGGCAGAGGTGGGAAATGGCCGAAAAGGAGCGGCGGCCGCTCCGCCGAACAGCTCTCCAAGTTGCCGGCGCTCACGCTTGCGCACGAGGTGGTGCGTCTCGAGGCCGAAGTCTGTCGGCTGAAGGAGTTGGCAAATACGCAAGAAAGGCGATTGGCACACCAGCGGGATACGATGTCGGAGTTGATGGGCCGCGCGGAGGAGAGCCAAGAGGGGTTTGAACGGGCATTGACGACCATGAACCGCCTCGTGGCCCGCGCCGACGATGCGGATAAGCGAGGTCGCAAGGATGTTGCAAACGCGGTCCAGGAAATGCGCGTGGAGAGGGCGAACGCGACTTCTCAAAGGGAGACGGCGGCGCTCACATTTGCACGCCTTGAGGCCGCGGTGGTGGAGTTGAAGTCCACGATTTTTTCCGCGCTCAATAGTGCCGCAGAGCAGACTCGCGCGTGTCAAAGCAATAGATTGAGCTCATACGCCATGGCTAGGGTTTTGGTAGTAGAAGGTAGCGTGGGAGAGGGGTGGCCAACAAAAGAGGAAGTTCACTATAGAGCAAACAGAACAAATAGGCAAGCAAAAGCAAGAATGGTGCACCACCAACTAGAATGGCTATAACTACAGTACCCAATCCTACAGGCTGGTACATATAGAAAATATAAGTTATATTTTCGGACAGCGCGGAGGTCTGGCAGAAGCTCGTCGGCTTTGAAAACGCCGTTGCGAACGCGGCTGAGCGTGGTGCGGGCGCGGGGGCTATGATCTTGAGGACAGTGATGGGGTCCTTCGCGGGTAATTTGGGGCCGACTACATGCCCCGAGCAACCCGCGGGTCGGATTCCCAAACTCCCCGCGGCTCCAGCGGGTGTCACAAGCCTCCCGCTCATCCTATCAGGGGGTGGTGAGTCCGCGCGTCAGGAGAAGCGTCCTGTACCTCAAGCTGCCGAAGGCGAGGCTACTACGGGCCGCGTGAAGAAGTTGAAGGCCGCTGGAAAAGATTCATCTACCGCGGCTGCTGCAGTGAAGGACTGTGGAGTCGCGGCTGCGAGGCTTGCCATTGCGGGGAGCAAGAACGAGGGCGCGGTAGTTATTTCTGACGACGAGGATGCGGAGGCGTTGGAATCGCGGAAAAGGTTTCTTGCGGCCCGGGCTGCGGTGAAGGGTGCTGGTCGTGGGGGTGCAATGGCCAAGGACCCGAAGGACCAGCTTTGTATTGGGACCGGTGTTGTGGAGGGGGGACATAAGAACGTCGCGGCCACACAGACGGCGATGGTCGGAGTCCGCTTTACTCCGGGGAACAAAAACCCGTTCTCGGTTGAGCTTCATCACGGAGGGGTGCGCTACTATCTCGGCTCGTTTTCGCGTACTACGCTCGCGCGCTACCTGTCTGCGGTGGCACAGACCATGTGGCACGGCCGCGTTCAGAGTCGTGAGTTGGTGCTCTCCAATAAGGAGGAATCCGATTGGGCGGAAAATCTCGACCTGGCGCGGAAGATGACCGCGGGCCTATGTTCAAATCATTTTCTGCGGAAACTGGCTGGCAACCACAAGAGGTACGACGTGCTTCCGCATACACGGTTCATTCAACTGTTTCGTTCTAACTCCCGTGCTTTTTGATTGTGCCACAGGATGCTCAACATTTTCAAAACGTGTCGCGAACTTGTGGAAGCGGATTCGGACAACACTGTCCAGTCCGCGTTATGTGCTGCAGTTGGGCTAGAGGTCGCGGAAGATGATGCGAAAGTGAAGGGGAAAGAACAGAAGACGTTATTCGCCGCCGCGGTCGCGTTCGCGTTTGCTGCTGTGTGGAGTCTGACCGCGGAATATGCGCGCTGCAACACGGCAGGTGGTGCGAGATCAGCCTGGAAAAGAGTCACCGTGGAGGTTCGTGCTGCCGCGGTCAAAAGTGGCTCAGCCGCTGCAAAGCTGTGTCGCGCTAGTGTGGATCAACTGGAGGGTTTGGAGGTGTGTTGGAGAGACGTGTGCTCGGACATCCGGAAACACCAAGGTGATCAGCTGGGGGCCACGGCGAGCATCCAGAAGAGGGTGCTGAAGTTGTATGGGGAAGAGCTTGACATGACCGACAAGGTTGTCGTGCATCAGCTGATCCAGGTGGTGGTCGACTGGAACTACGGTTCGTCCGTGTTCCTGGCAACAAAAGGTGTGGGCCTTTACATGGAATACCCGAAAAAGAAGGGGACGCGTGGGAAGGGCAAGAATGGGGACGCGGGAGAGAAGGATGGGAAGAGCGATATGGATGAGAGGAAGGGCGAGGAGGCGGAGCACAGTGATGGAGAAGACATTGTGAGAATGAGAACGAGAATGAAAATGACTAAGGGAAAGTTGGGTACAAGTACAAACCCTAGAAAGCAGTACCCCATATGTGCTACCCCACTATAGCCTACAGTAGCTATGTCATATAAATCTGACACACCCCCATAGGCAAAGTGGGGGAGAACAAGGGGTCACAAGACCAGTCAAGCAAAGCAAAGCAAGCTCAGGGTGGATCACAAAGTCACCACACATTCCGAGCACAAGTTCAAAGGCCAAAAGGCCAGTTCACATGCAAGAACACATATATATAGATATACAAGAGGCTAAGCAAGCAAGAGCAAGAGTATATATAAGTGACAGTACAAGCAAGGTCAAGAAGTGAGCAAGTGAGGCAAGACAGGCACAAGACCCAACTGAGTGCAGAAGCGCTGATGATCACAAGGCGCAAGTGCCTTGGTGAAGACATCAGCAGTGTTGGCCTCAGAGGCCACGTACGCAAGCCGCAACTGTCCACGCTGCTGTGGCTCACGAGCAAGAAAGTAGCGGAGAGCAATGTGCTTTGTCCTGTGCTCCAGTCGGTGCTCTCGACACAAGGCCAGCATGGCCTTGTTGTCTACGTACAGGACTGGAGGAGAACGAGGCGGCTCTCCAAGGTCAGTCAGCAGGTAGGTGAGCCAGCGAAGCTCCTGGGCAGCCATAGCCCCGGCGTAGATCTCAGCCTCACAACTAGAGCCGAGAACAGAAGACGAGCGGGTAGCCCGCCACGAAACAGAGCCGGAACCGAGGCTGAAGGTGTAACCCTGTGACGACCGCTGCGTAGCCTGGTCGTCAGCCCAAGAAGCGTCCGCGTGCCCAGTGAGGACCACTGGACTCCGCCCTCCAAGCACTAGCCCCATGCCCGACGTACTGCACAAGTAGCGCAACACCCTCTTTGCTGCAGCCATGTGCTCTGGTCGGTGTCTCCCAGGAGCAACATAGCGTGCGAGAATGCTAAGAGGGTATGCAAGGTCAGGTCGAGTGCAGGTCATCAGGTATATGAGGCAGCCAACAAGCTCTGGATACGGGCCACTCGACTCTACGGACTCATCCGAAGGCAGAGCTGAGAGCGAGTGGCGAGTAGGCAGAGGAGTGGCCTGAGGCGAGGAGTACGTGAAGCTGAAGCGCTGAAGGACCTGCTGCACCATGTGTGACTGAGTCAGGGTAATGGTGCGGCGTGCTCTGTCCCGGGTGATCTGCAAGCCAAGGTAGCTGCGCAGTTCACCCAGGTCAGTGCACGTGTGTCTCTTCTGCAGCTTGGACTTCACGTAGGCGAGTCCAGCAGTGTCAGCTGTGGCAAAGACCAAGTCGTCGACGTACACGAGGATGTAGAACGGCGGCAGAGAGGTGTCGGTGCGCAGAAACAGCGACGGGTCAGCAGTAGAAGGAGCAAACCCAAGAGCCGCAAGCGTAGTCCTCAGTGTGTCGTGCCACTCACGGGGCGCCTGGAGGAGACCGTAGACTGGACGCCGGAGACTCCACTGGGTACCAGGAGGGAAAGACCCAGTGAAGCCAGGTGGGCGGCGCAGCCAGATCTCCTCGTGCAGGCAGCCCTGCAAGAAAGCAGTGCTGAAGTCGAGAGAGTGCAGCTCGTAGTCACGGTGAGCAGCAACGTGCAGCAGTACCCGAAGAGTGGTCATCTTCGGGGTGGGGGAGAAGGTCTGAAAGTAGTCAACCCCCTGCCGCTGACTGAAGCCACGAGCCATGTAACGCGCCTTGAAGACAGGCGGAGAACTCGGCGGCCGCTTCACCCTGAAGATCCACATGCCACTGACGATGTTCGCCCCAGGAGGGGGGACAGCATCAACGTAGGTGTCTGTGGACTTCCAGGAAGCCATCTCTGCATCCATAGCTGCCTGCCACTGAGAGTAGGGACCCTCTATCGCCTCCGCATAAGAGCGCGGAGTTGAGATGTCAAGTGCATCCGGGTCTCCCTCAAGGGTAAGCAGTACGGACAAGAGATGCGGTGAAGCGGCTGCCAGGCACTGGAACTCCTCCTGCCTGCCCTCGAGGACGTCCGTGCCAAGGGCACACTCACCCCCAACGGACGAAGGACAGACAGACTCAGACTCTGCGATAAGACTAGCAGCGTAGTCTAAGCGACAGCGAGCAGCAAAGTCAACGAGCTCAGTAACGAGGGCAGACGCAGCAGAAGACTCGAAAGAAGGGTCAGAGACGACAGTAGCAAGGAAACGCGTGACAGTAGGACTGGCAGCACGAAGAGAGTCCGACTCCGGGTCGGCAAGAGCAGGAAGAGAGGACTCAGGAGAAGAAGCTAAAGGGGCACGCGGAGGAGCAGTGAACGGGCGAAGTGACATCCGGTGCGTGCCAGGGACAGGAGGAGGACGTTGACGCGAACTGCGACCACTAGCGCGTGCAGGACGAACAGGTGACGCAGGACGAGACGCAGGCTCATGACGCTCAGTAAGACCTCCAGTAGGACCAGCGTAGGGAGAAGGAGCAGGTAAGGGGGAAGCAGGCTGTAGCTGTGACTGGGACGGGACTGGCTGTGGACGCTCTAAGAGAGGAGGAGAGCCAGTAGAAGGCGGAAGACCAAGAACCTGCTGCAGGAGTGGAACGAAGTACGGTCGAGGCCGCGCGGCGACGCCAGACACAGCAAGGACAGCACCAGTACCCCCAGCAGGAGCACCCACTCCAGGAGCACCTCCAGCAGCACCCCCAGCAGCTCCAGAACCCCCAGCAGCACCAGGAGCACCGCCAGCAGGACCGCCAGCGGTAGTCTCAGCGCCAACACCCTCAGCAGCACCAGCTCCAGCCGAACCCGCAGGCCCAGCAGCTCCAGTACTCCCACTACGAGCACCTCCGGGACCCGTGACAGTAGCACCCTCAGCAGTCGAAGAACCTCCAGCACCTCCAGCGCCGGGCAGACCACTCGCGCAGCTCCTGTGGAGAGAGTGGCTCCCGGCGAGACGAAGCACCCGGCGAACCTCCAGGCGAAGAAACTCCAGGCTCAGCACCCTCAGCCAAAGCACCTCCAGGCTCAGCACCCCCAGGCTCAGCACCCCCAGGCTCAGCACCCCCAAGCTCAGCACCCCTAGGCTGAGCACCCCCAGGCTCCGCACCCCCAGGCTCAGCACCCCCAGTCTCAGCACCCCTAGGCACAGTACCCCCAGTCGCAGCACCCCTAGGCTCAGCACCCGAAGCAACACCAGAGTCACCAGTGACCTCGACAGGCTCGACCGCGTCTACCTGGGACACACATGAAGGGGCAGAACCCTGAGGGGGGAGGGGGTCTACCGGGGGGGGACCTGGTACCAGGAAGAGCGGGGGTGGGGGGAGGGACGGAGTGTGGTAGGGGAAGAGGCGGTAGTAGGGTACCGACTCGTCGAACGTGACGTCCTGGGAGGACAGAACACGGCGAGAGGTGGGGTGGTAGAACTGCCACCCAGGGGCGTCGGGGGGGAACCCCAGGAAGACGCAGGGAGCAGCACGAGGGGACAGCTTGTCCGCAGACAAGTCACGGACAAACGCCCGAGATCCCCAGACCCGGAACGCCGACGCATCGCCAACCTTCCCCGTCCACAGCAGGGCTGGGGAGGTCTCCGGCCTGGAGACCCTCGGGTGAAGGTTGATCTGGTGCGCCGCGTACCTCACCGCAAACAGCCACAGAAAATGGGGGGCAGCCGCATGCATCATAGACGTACGAGCGACGTCCATGACCATGCCAATGCGGCGCTCAGCAATCCCATTTTGCTGCGGTGTGTCCGGAAGCGTGAAGGTCTGACGGATGCCTCGCGCACGACAGTAGGCACGCAGAAGGCCAGAGGAGAACTCTCCGCCTCTGTCCGAGTGCAGACGCAACACAGGAAAGTCCGAGCCAAAGCTCTGCCTGAGCTGGAGACGAGCTGCGCGGATCCAGTCGATCAGCACCGCAGAGACATCACCCTTGCTGCGCAAGGGGAAGACTGTGGTGTAACGCGAGTAGTCGTCAACAACAAGCAGGAAGTAGCGCTCGTGACCCTGTCCACGGACGCGGGCGGGGCCCCACACGTCCATGTGAAGCGTCTGCAACGGGGCCTCAGTCGGAGGAAACTGGGAGGATTGAGGGGCAGCACGCTGGCGCCCCTCGACACAGGGGACACAGGAAGGGCCAGGGCCCTGAGGAAGGGGAGGGAGGGACCGGGGGAGACCAGACACAAGAAGACGGGAGGCCATGCCTCTGAGCCGAAGCAGAGAGGGGTGACCAAGGCGGTGGTGCCAGAGGAGAGTCTCGTGAGACAGGAGACGACACGGACAGGGGGCAGACTCAGGACCAGACCTGGACGCTGCAGCAAACACCTGACCAGACGCAGGGACCCTACCAGACCCAGTAACTGGGGGGGAAGCAGTGGTCAGTATGTACAGGCTCGACCCTGGCTGACGGGTAAACGTAGCCAGGTGTCGACCTGTGCTAGCCTCTGTGCAGTGCGTCACCCGCTGACGAGCAAGGGTCAACTGGTGGACTCCCGCATCTTGTAGGTCAGCACCACTCACCAAGTTCGTAGAGAACGAGGGGAGGTAGAGACCAGACAGGGTGCCAGAGGGAGCCGCCGGACACGGGAGGACAGTGGAGAAGCGAGACAGGACAGGACCCCCTGAGGGGTCAGCCAGGGAAACCGCAACCGGCCGACTAAGCGACGTGAGTGTGGTGCGATCCCGAAAGAAAGAGCGAGACGCCCCAGAGTCAAGGGTGAAGGTGTGAGAGGCCGAAGCCGACGTAGTACCTGAGAGCACAGACTCACCAGTACCTGGGGACGCAGACACACTAGCACCCAGAGCAGCAGCGTCGCAAGCACCTAGGGCAGCAGCCTCACCAGTACCTAGAGCAGCAGTCTCAATGCCCGGGTCGGGCAGAAAACACCGGTAACAGTCACCCTCATCACTAAGAGTCACAGCATAGATGGCAGCAAGGATAGCATCAAAGTCAAGATCAAAGATGGCTACGCCAGCCCTAGACAGCTCTCCCCAGCGGGGGATCTCCGTGGCCTCCGGAAACTGCTGACGCCAAGCGTCCGTCAGGCGGCCAAAACAGCGCTGGGTGGGGTGGGCACCCCCACACTGCTCACCCGCGCGGTCGCCGGTGCAAAGGACGTAGGTGCA